TTCATGAACATTCATGAACATTCATGAATTGTTGCCATTTTTCATGAATGTTCATGAATTCATATATTCATGAATATTCATGATTTTATATTCATGAAAGTTCAAGATTTTACATTCATGAATATTCATGAATTTATATTCATGAATTTTCATGAATTTTCATGAAATATTTTGCTCAGGATTATTCATGAAGTTTTAAGTTCATGAATTTCATGAAAATATTCATGAACAAATCAAGAACATTCATGAATATTATTCATGAATATTTCATGAACTGTTCATGAAGTTTCATGAATTATTCATAATCATTTCGCAGGGGTGTTTCCGTGAACCGCTTATTCCTTGCTACATTTCAATATTTTGAAATATTTTGTTGTAAGATTGCATTTGAAGAGTTCTAAGTATAACATTTCACAGAAGTTAAAACTTCCTAGAAATTCCTTGAAATTCTTTTGGAAAGTGCTCTTGTTGAAATCTTATGGTTTAAGGATTGGAACCATTTGCAACTTGATATAAAAATTAATGCAACATCATTATTCTCCAATTGTATATATATATATAGTGAGCCACTCTGTAGTGCTCTTGCTCTGACTTGAGCAAGTCTACAAAGATTGATAATGATACCTATTTAATTTTATACCCGAGCTTATCTATATTAACTGATACCAATTATTCCTAACTTCACACCTGTCAGATGAAAGCAGTACAGGTGAAATAGTCCAGATTAAATATACATCAAGGCTCACGATATTGTCTGTAGGGATTGGCCGTGGTGGCTTACACCAGGAAACAATGTACACATGTTGCTACTAAACCATGATATTTTTGTCACCAGCAAATTTTCGCCTTTTAATATGAATGATTTCAGTGATGGAGTTATCCTCCCAAACTACATAATTATATTGATCCCAATGTTCCTCCTGACTTCATCCTCTTTTGAAAATATCAAAAAGGTGAAGAAACAGAATGGGCGAACATTTGACAATTTATATTATATCGTAAAAATCGCGATCCTTAATTCAGGTAATTATAAGGTGTACATATTTATATCTCATCATTATATATGATAGCAAATTAAAATGATATTGCACACTAAAGTTTCCAAAAAATATGAAAATGAAGTATAAGTCACATACATTTATTTGTTATTATAAAAAAACCACCAGAAATCCTGTTGTGTATTTCGTTAAACTGTCCAGTAATATTTTATAGGAGGTGGTACCTTTGAGAGTAACAAATTATGTATCTAAGTTGCACATTGCTGTCAACCCTCGCCATTAGGAAGGGAGACTCCGTCATTTTGATCAAAATTTACCAATCTCGCTCGTAACTCCCTCATTTAAGTCCAAAGTCCCTCAAACTCAAAAATCTACATCCTGTCATCCAGTGATTTTCTAGTTACTGCAGGGTGTGTGTAATGATTATAACAGGTGTGTCTGAATCAAATGAATGCTTTTTGAAGTTATTTTGATATGTAAAAACTAAGAAGGGAAAGAAAAATTGAGATAAGCAGTTTCAGTTGCGTTTCATGCACTTTCTCCCTCATTGGAAATGTGGAATGAAGGAGATCTCCCTCATTGGAGGTTTCACAGGTTGCATTTTCTTCAGTGCCATTCTGTTCAGGATGTGGAAAAGAGCGAAAATTATCTGGTGCCCCAAATGCAACGTCTGGGACCTCCTGTTGCATCTTTTCTCTTTTATTTTGTCAGAATAATATGACAGAGGTGAGGTATCATGCATGCTACTACATCTAGATTATGACATTTCATTGAAAAGATACATTGCACTGTAAAGTGGCCATATCATTTTCAAATGATGTCAGATGTTGCGAAAACATTCTCAATAGTTGAGAAAAATACAGGGATTTTTTCAGGTAATGATAAAGTTACTCCAAGGTAACTCAGGTTGTTAAGGGAGGTTGTCAAGAAACCAGTTCAATTTCTCTCTAAATTTTTATTAAAAAAAAAGTTTTTTTTGGAATATTTCTTTTTTAACTAGTTTATTCAGCACACAGGTGATCATAACAGGACAAAAATTCAGAGATTGTATGTGTCATCCTTTTACTAACCTAGGTATTCCTTGCCTTTCCTTTTTGATTATATCATACATATAATGGCTGAAATGTTTCCTTCCTTTCTTTCCCCTAGTTCCTTTCCAGACAATAAAAAAGTTACTTCTTGCCCAACATGCTTGGTCTGAAGTTCTGATGTTGATGTCATTAAAATGTGTGTACTTTAATTTCCGTCCTAAAGTTCACATCTTTAAAATTATGGATAATTATGTTCATAAAATTTGTCTTACATTGTAAATTAAAGGGTTGATCACTGAAGCTTCCGAAACTGCTCTGTGATGCTTCCTCTTTTTCCTCTATGCTTGGTGGGAGGTATGATACACAGTCATTTACTACAAAGATTTGTCAGCTTGATAAAGCTTTATGACAAACTTTTCGGTCTAAAATATTTACCCAGTACTTCTTATTCAATTTTAAGTATTAAAGTAATCATGCTTCAAATGATAATTCAAAAGAATATGCTCAGTTTTATAAAAGTATTTAAAACTTTTTATCAAAATAAAATAAAAATGATTAAAAATAAATGAAGATTATATAGTTAGAAAATATGTTAAGCTAACAATACATAAAATTGATGCACTGGAGCACAATGTTTAAGGTAGACAAAGAGTGGTATTTCATGCAGTATTGAAGACTGTAATAATGATTTTTACGAGGAATAAAGAATATAGCACAATACATATAATATACATCAGGTGTTTCACAATTTATGACTGCTATATAAACTTAATTGAAAGTTCAAGACATTTTTTTTTCAAAAATAACTTCACAATTTTCCACTCATGTACAGGTGTGTGTTACCTATGCTATCAGTAGGGGTCAGAGGTTACCATCGCTATGTATGATGTCCGATTTCACAGGTGATGTTGTCAATCATATCATACATATTTCATTTGCCACCTGTGATAGTTACAACTGAATATAATTTGGTATGCCCCCCCAACTCTCCTAGACCCCAGCCAGCTGTATGTACTTTCATATGAAGTATACATGAACAAAAATTATACATTATCTGTTCTAGAGAAGGAAAAAGAAGGAATGACTTTTTAGTAGGACCCAGCTGGTACCCAGTACCACAAAATCTAATTTCAAGTCATTTATAATGATATATCTTTTTTTTCTAAATTCACGCATATGTAAATATACACCTAGCTATTTGCACCTGATGCAGTCAAATTTCGTCTGGCACCTGAGTAATATTTTATACAGTCATTACCAAGCCATTTAGCAATTTGGACTAAACGTTTTGAGAAAAAACTATTAGGGTCCCTGCCTGGTATCTGGAACACTAGTACACACATCTTCGTACTTGTTCAATGAAAAGGCAAGTACAGTACTATGCAATTTGGTCCGCCTTTAACACACCTATGGAACATCAATTTTCTACCTAACAGGATCATTTACATGTAATTAGAAAGGATATACAGATGACTTAACCTTTAATTAAAAGATGTAATATTTTTCTTTTTTAAAGTTGCTGTGTGCTCTTTATGTACCATTAATTTGTAAAGATGTAATCATATTTCCTGTTAATTACCATAATCACATTCCAGCAAATAATTTTCTAAGCCAAGATTGGTTTTGTTTTTTTCCATGGTTTAATATAGCAAGGTCCAAGGTCATTTGGATGGAGACCATTCTTTACCAAGAAGCTTAAAAATATACAAGGTAATTACAGATCTCCAAAGCAAAAATAAGATATTTACCTTTAAAAATGTAAAAAAATAAATAAAAAAAATGTAAAGGTGATATTGTGCTGAGACTTAGCGATTGATCCCTCCCCCTCTCTATACTGGTGGTAGGAAATGCTGGACATGGATTGTACAGGAATTTCAAAAATGTTAACTGTTGGTATGATGTAAAACTGACAGCAATTATATAGTTGCATGCTGTTTAACCCATCTATAAAGTCAGAGTATGAAAAGGGAATTTCTTGTTTGAAATGGCGAAATATCAACAATAAAATCACAAAGATGAAATTTATTGCTTAAAATTGTAAAGTAATTTTTTGTTTTTTTGTTTTTATGTAATGGTGCATGTATACGTATCATAATAGTTTCTGAAGGATTATTTCCTCATTAAATACCAAAATCTGCTTTATAAACCCAGTTACATCATCTTGGCAGCTTATGTTATAATAAGTGGAGCAACTAGGTGCAGACATGTGTTCCATCATAATTATAACTGAACGCACTTACTTACAGGTACATATCGTAAATTTATTACCCCCATTGTTCGAAAACATGATTCGTTTACATTAATCATGTGTCACGAGGGCGAAACAAGAGTGAAACATGATTAATCAAGGGAAACAAAGCATCGTGTTTCCCTGTTGCAAGGGTAGTAAATAAAAGCGCAACAGTGAAGATGATCAGGATTCAATGTCATTGTTGTCGTCTGCTTCAGTCACTCGGAAGTCAGGTGGTGTGGTTCTCGCCCATTTTTCTTTGGAGGAACTGAAAAAGGGAAATACGACCAGGGCGCCTCAAACATGTGAGGGCTACACAATATTTTGCCTGTCATGTGGTCAATATTATCCAATAAAAATTGTTGTTATAAAACTGAGGTTGAATAACATATGTGATACGTACAGTTTACATGTGGAGTCATATTTCGTTTTCTAGCGTCAGTTTTGTATTTTAGATATTGTTGATTAAATGTCGCAGTACACCTCACTGTTAAAAACAATAAAGGGAAATAATCAATGAAAGTGATGGACTGATTATATATACTTTTTGTATATATATAAACAACTGTTCAAGATTTTTGGGTTACCCCCTATATATCTATGGCATGAGTTCTCTGTCACTAGAAACAATACAAACACATCTGGGGAACAATGACGTCACAATCAGCTTTGATGGGAGCGAACAATTGTAAAATTGTAGTCACCTTGTCAATCTTTTATATTTTGGAGGAAACCATCAAGGTATTTCAGTATGACATTTACGGTAAACTGCAACATGTACTGAACATCTATGCACTGTCAGCAGAATAACTCCACTTGTTGGATCTACATGTACAGTTGCAGGTGGAACGGAAAACATGCATGAATAATGTAAAAAAAAAAATAGTATCATCATTTCAAGATAACTGTGCTGTAATTATCTTATCAGGGTTGGAGGGGAGAGATGAGAAGAATCGGAATATTGAAGTGGCTGTCATAAATATGTCACTCCTCCTCAGGGTTTATAAAATACTTTTAAAAACGTATGTCGACAACTAAATATGATAATACAGATATATATCTGCATTGTACATTCCAAAAGAAATGGCACTGCATGCATGTGGTCTAGACCTTCGTGGTTAGGGTTGGACAAAATCATGAAAGCAGCTGTGGTCTTCATGTGTGTGGTCACTTATATGGAAATCAAGACTTTTTTTTAAAGGAAAAGTATATGGTAACATATGTAAAACATTTAGTATAGCTGTTGGCTGATTAGTTGCTGAAATATATCTTTACTACATTATTGTAATTACTTATCTATACAAAGTGTCATATTCTCCATCTCCTTAAGAATATATCAAAAAATTCCTCTTCGTTTCATTAGATTTTCCCAATCTTGGAAATAAAATCCTTATGCTGTATTTTCACTGACAATTGACAAGTGATGCCAAGCGGAGTGTTGCAGGATTTTTTTTTTTTAATGCCTCGGCAGGGATAATCCTGGAGGGTCCTTCCTGATTTCTGTTTACTTTTATAATTTCCTCTATTTTTTTATATTGACAAAATATTGCTCATTGCTCTCAGGTTTTAGGATTTTCCTTGTCTATGTAATCCTAGTAAATATATAGCTAACATGATCAGTTAACGTCACACTATACATGTCTTTGTGATATTATTTTGTACTTGGATCCCAAAAAGGAAATTATATTGCATATCAACCATAAACTTATTATCTTTCCTCTGATTAAATGCTAGGATGTCTTGTGTTCTGTAGCTATACTTTGGCTATTAATAAATACTGATCAATTTTAATGGCACACCATGTTTAATGAAACTAAGATCATTAAAGTTTACCCATATCTTATCAAATTTTATTATCATCACAGTTGCACCAAATATTTCCATCCTTTTGTTCTGTTCATCAGAATCCAATCCCCCACCCCCTTTCCCAAAAAGGGTTTGAAATATTTTAGTGCAGTCAAAATACACTATCTGATAAGATATAAGGTTAGAATTACTTTTACCTGCCCATTGCATTGGAAATATATTGATATTTGATTATTTACTTAAGAGAAGAGTACTAGTTTATGTTTACGCATGTATACATATGTCATTTTCAGCTCATTACATGCATGATTATTTCAGGCCTGTGGATAATTAGTAAGGTATTTTTTTCGTTTGTTTTAGACACTCTTCGGAAAGCAAGCAGATACGCTGGAGCATTCTAATGATGACGAGAGAACTTGTATCCTTTGAAAGAAACATATAAAAGTTTACCAAGATTAGTAGAGGATGTTTTACAAACGACCTTTTGATGAAGTTGTGTCACGATGATCATAATGAGCTTGTAAAGAGACTAGAAATATATATATGTATGACGACGTAAGGTCAAAATCACATTTTACTTGTGATTATATGACAATTCTAGCAATGGGGACATGCGGTTGTCAACTTCTATTTTATACACTTGTCAACCTTTCCTGTAGTTTCAATCAAGATATGCTGCTTTCATGCATGTCTATCATCATCCCTACCATCTCTACATGGCATGAGACACAGGTTCAAGCTTAATTTGAATCAATCTTTGTCCTGGAAAGGTAACAGAAGTGGTCATCCCCAAAAGTTGAATTTTCTTTAGAAATCTTTTTATTTGAGAACTTTAAATAAGGTTCAAACTTATTCACATCAGGACGAAAAAACAACATGTACAGTAAAAGATTGATATTAGGCCATTGTCTTTATCAAAATTAATCTTTCAGTTCCGGTGGCTATTTTTACACATGTGTGTCAGCGTTTGACCTAGATTTACAGAGTCTTAGTGTATGTACCATATGTGAATTTGCCGGTGTCTGTGATTTGATATCAGCCAGTGCCCCTTGCAGGAAATCAATTTCAGTATGTAATTGTTTTTATGAACGGCTGGTGTCATGTTTAGATTGGGAAGATAAAATGGGGTGTGTTTGAGTGTTATGCAGAGGTAGTGAAATTACACCTGCAAGCTTATTAGTATCCTGTTAACACTGTACCTTATACATATTAAGCAATTCTTTGATTGAAACTTTCTATAACTTGCAGATATTATTAACTTATTTTAACCTGCAATTTAAAAAAATACAGGTGTAACATTTTCTGTATTGTACTGACTACTTGATAAAAAAAAATGCTGTGAAAAATTAAAGAGTCTAGTGTAAGTTATATGTTTTCATAAAATTTACATTCAAGTACTTCAAGGTAATTCAGTATAGGAAAATCACATCAATATCAGATACTTCAAGGTCAGAGTCAGTATAGGAAAATCAAATCAATATCAGATACTTCAAGGTAATTCAGTATAGGAAAATCACATCAATATCAGATACTTCAAGGTCAGAGTCAGTATAGGAACATCACATCAATATCAGATACTTTAAGGTCAGTCAATATGGGAAAATCAAATCAATATCAGATACTTCAAGGTCAGTCAGTATGGGAAAATCAAATCAATATCAGATACTTCAAGATCAGTCAATATAGGAAAATCAAATCAAAATCAGATGCTTCAAGGTCAGTCAGTATGGGAAAATCAAATTAATATCAGATACTTCAAGGTCAGTCAGTATAGGAAAATCAAATCCATATCAGATACTTCAAGGTCAGTCAGTATGGGAAAATCAAATCAATATCAGATACTTCAAGGTCAGTCAGTATAAGAAAATCAAATCAATGTCAGATACTTCAAGGTCAGTCAGTATAGGAAAATCAAATCCATATCAGATACTTCAAGGTCAGTCAGTATAGGAAAATCAAATCAATATCAGATACTTCAAGGTCAGTCAGTATGGAAAACTCAAATCAATATCAGATACTTCAAGGTCAGTCAGTATAGGAAAATCAAATCAATGTCAGTCAGTATAGGAAAAACAAATCAATATCAGATACTTCAAGGTCAGTCAGTATAGGAAAATCAAATCAATATCAGATACTTCGAGGTCAGTCAGTATAGGACATATAGTTCAGTGAGTAAAATATCTGAATCCTTGACTAAGTCCAGATTATATAATAGAAGCCGAGCATCTCGTCAACAAGTTTATATCAGTCCCTAAGGATAAAGGTGAGTACACATTACAATAAAACCTGTCTTAACTGGACACTATAGAGAACAAAACTTTTCTGCTGGTATAGACAGGTTTTGAATACAGGCTATTTTATAATACAGTGAAACCTGTCTTAACTGGACACTATAGAGGACATTTATTTGATTTTGTTGTTGTATAGACAGGATTTTAATACAGGCTATTTTATGATACATGTACAGTGAAACCTGTATAAACCAAACACAAGCATAAAATGGACAAACCTTTAAAACTGGTGTAGATAGGTTTTGTTTATACAGTTGTATATAGGTACATGGAATCAAGTAAATGTTTGGTTTACACAGGTTCCCTGATTATTCAAGGTGTGGTTTATGCAGAATAAAGTTTACCTTTAGGATATACGTATATAAGATAAGAATACTGTGGAAAAAGAAACCCGATGACTTGCCTTGAAGTTCTCTCTGTTGTACCAAGCCAGGGTTACAATGTCACCACGCCGTCATTGGTTTATACTTGACCTCCACTGTCTCCACGCTGTCATGTAGTAACACCCTGTACAAAATCGGATCTTGTCCATCTTTATTCAAAAGGACCAGAAACATGTTTATTTAATGAACAGAAAAAGCTGGTTCTCATAAAATGTTGCATAACAATATTTTGAAAATTTTAAAGTGCATATGATACAGATGAGGTCAAAATATCACAGGTAAGACTTCAAGGTTACCGTCAGGTTAGAGAATGTTTTTACTGTTTCGTATTACTGTATGGAATCTGGAATTCCATGTCGTCATCATTTCTGTGTTTTATTTGCAGGGAAATTGAACTGTGCAGCGTTCACTGCTGGAATCATAGAGGCCATATTAAACGGTGCCAACTTTGTAAGTAGACAAATATTTCTAGAATTTCAGAAGAAAAATAAATGTGCGGGTACCAGCAGTGCTATGAAAACACCTGCCAAGAACTAATTAACATGCAGGAGCACTGATTAAGATGAAGCGTTGTTTGAAATATTTACCTACTGACACACATACTCAAAAAAAAAAAACATTCAGAATTGTTCAGGTTATTGACCTAAAAACCTTGAACTTGGTTCCACTTGTATGAAACTTTTCAAAGAGTTTAAGTAGGGAAAATCTTGTTAAATCTTGAAGTGAGGAAAATTTCAAGCAATGTTAAATCATTGGAAATCCATAATGTTGAGGAAAATCTCCAGCAATATTATGTTATGTCAATGGAAAATCTCAAAGTTGAGGAAAATATCAAGCAATGTTAAATCAATGGAAAAACTTAAAAGTTGAAAAAAATGTCCAAGCAATGTTGAAGCTGAGGAAAACTTTGATTAAAGTTGAATCAATAGGAATTCTCAATGTAAAATACAAAAAAGATGTAAGATTTATGTGAGTTCTGGCCATCATTCCTGGTCAATATAAAGAGGGTTTTGAACCCTGGTGTGCTGGGTAAGGTCCTGGTTTGACTCCTGAAATCGGAAACATATTGGACTTTTAAACAGGGTACCCGGTATTGTTGATCTAGGGGGCAGACAGAAGTAGAAGTATTGCCAACATATTTTGTTTATGTTTGTGAAATGAAACAAAAGATAAGGCAAGCCGATACCTATATTAGATGTTGCTGTTAAATATTTATATATAAAAAAAAGATGAATTAACTATCCTGGGCATGGTTACTTTTAGGGTTTCCAGTCTCAAAAATAACAAAATTAAGGTGCTTATCAGAAAAAGAATCATGGTCACAACAGGGAGGGCCACGGACACCATTTGTAGCAAGAAAGAAGAGAATAGTGTCCTCCACCGAGGATCAAACCTGTGACCCCAGACTTCCGAGACGGACGCTGTACCACTGAGCTAAAGGGAAATCGAAAGCGTTAAGCTAGAAGGCGACTGTAGTCCTATGTACAATTAAAATTTGCCACAATATAAATTATGCATAATGGGGCAATGATATGCTTATCACTATCTCACACAAGTACTGTGTAGAAGACTTATCAATATGTACTTATCTACAGGTCTCTAACTCTTGTATTTTGTTATTCTGTTTTCCAGCCGGCTAAAGTGACAGCTCACTGGCATAAAGGAACAACCTTCATGATTGAATTTGACGAGTCTGTGATCATCCGTGATAAGATGGTGGAGGGCAAATGAGTTCAACATTGATCAATAAACTATGAGATGTCTGTTGTGTAGTTTTAATGTAATAACACATTGTAAACCTGTCAGAGTGAGAATGAGGCTCACGACTGAGTGTGTTTGAAACTGTTGGACGTGAGGGTGTGTTTTGGTGCATGCTGTTAGTGCAATACTTTTTTAAAGTACATTTATTATCGCTTTAGTGAACATTTAATGAAACTTCACTTGGGACCAGTATTTATTTCTTATTATGTAACTTTTTTTTTCATGTAAGAGGATTTTTGATGGATGTGTAAAAATTATTTGATAACATTTTTGATTTAATGGTTACACATAGGGAAGGGGGATAACTGTATTTTGAGAAATTATTCTTGACACCTGTGAGAAAATTGCAAATACTCATAAAATGTGAGAACTAACATATATATACTATGGTTTTATCAAAGATGTAATAGACACAACAAATATTTTGAAAGTTTAATAAAAAAAAAACACCCAGCTTTAATAGTAAGGCATTTTTGGAAGATTTTTGGGGTTTAGCAGATAAATGGTACATTTCAAAGTATGAATGTAACTAATCTTGAATGTTACCCGATTGGTTGGAGTCTTATTACACTGTGTAGATGTAAACTGTGTACAAATGTGTATATTGATGTAAAGGATAGTATTTGATATGTGATGGTTGATAATTTGAAATCACTGTAACATATCTATGAATCTATCTCACAAGTTTAATAGTTTTTGAGATTTAGTACAAAACTATCTGGCTGATTTTTATAATTCTTATCCATTTTTCTTCACTTTTGGAGTTATTCAGGAACCAATCAAGTGGGTTGGACCGTAAACGAGGTAGCACTGGTTATAATTTATTATTAGATTATTACAGTTTGTATGCAATAACAAATATTATTGGATCTACAAGTTATAGATTAAAGGATAATGTGTTCAAACTTCAGTAACACTCCAGTTGTTGGTGTACATGATCTTTATTTCTTTCCAACCTTGTTTCATTACCTCTGTGTCTCCATCAGTATCCGTCTTCATATGACCTTGGGTGTTATGGAGAGATTAACCATCAATTAAACCAAATCAAATGTTCTTAATAGTAAATTTATGGTATGTAACCAAAAAACTTATGGAAAAATGTAAAGTTTGACCTGGATTCATTAGCTAACTGACATGTTATGTCAACTTTTCAAGTGGTTTCTTCTTTAATAAAATAATTAAGTGAAAACATTTATTGTTTTGTGATATTTATCTGAAGTGATTGTTCATAATCAAGACTGGGATAATGTACATGTATGTGGCACACTACCTTTCCATCCGAACTAAATATATCCCGAAATTTTCATTGAGCTATCTTGAGCACATCAGTTATGGATTGGACAATGAATTTGACCTCAATATGACCTTAACTTGGGGCATAGGAACTCCATTGTGGTACACAACACACTGCCTTGCCTTTCAAGTATATCCATACAATTTCATTAAGCTGTCTTTGGCAAGTCGGAAGCTATGGCCTGCACAATGAATATTACAGAATTAGACTTTTGAACTTTGGCATTTGCACCTAATAGTGGTGCATATTTGACAAGGAAACAACTCATTTGACGTTGTATGTGACATGCCAAGTAATAAAAATCTTGCCACTCTACATTTATCCCTTATATTCCATTGAACTAGCTCCTGCGAGTCAGAAGTTGTGGTATAGATAAAATTTTGGAAAGATATAAAGTGGCAAATATATGGTTCTTTTCAGAGCATAAAAACATGAAAAAAATCTTGAAATCATTATTATACCTGAAAATTTGGATTTGTTAATTGTTCGTAAAATTTAAAAGTAAAGGTAGGTATTGAATAGATACTGATGATGTCGTGGCACTGTATATGATGTATAACTGTGATGACATATCCCTTTCACTACTCTTTGTCCAGCTCCCATACTGGGTAACTGGTCAAATGATACTCCACCTGACCCTATCTAATTTTACCTAGTTCTCATTTTCTTTGCCATATCACTTGTTTACACACATAATTATGGAAAAAAAACCAACATCAAACAAATGAAAAATAGTCTCATAAATTTATTCATAATTTCAACATACATCATTTAGTTAAAAATATATGATATATCTCTGAAATAATCCCTTAGCTGACTTAATTTTGCAATGTTTTGCTGTAAAGTATATTTGAAATTGTGTATTAATAAAGTGAGGTAAATTTTGTACGCACTAACAACTTGTGTATGGATCATATCTGATGGCAAATCAGCTTTTATGAAAGTGTAAAAATAACTTGAAACAAATTTCAACAAATTGTGTTTAAATCTGGCAACTGTGTTTTGAAGATATAGCAGAACTACATATTTGAATTTAATATTGCTGTAAAAGAAACAAGAACCTAAGAATTGAGCTTTTCATTTCTTTAAGGGACATGAACCATTATTACCAAGCTCTGGTTTCACAATTCTTTTTTCAATTCTCAAAATTTTAATAAGGGTTATTAAGATTATTTTCTTGTCATTTCAACATGAACATCTGTGTATTATGTTCAGAAATGACCAAACCTAAAACACTGAATGAAATGCAGAAAAACTTACCATGGAACATTTGAATTTTGAATTAAAGATAATTCTCAAAAGTCAACAAGCTTTGTATTTTTTGGGCCATCAAATTGAAGTCTAAATAGAACTTGTGAGTTGTAGCTGGTCATCAGTTACAACTGTAAATGTTGTCGTCGGTGGCACAAGGTGGATAGAGCTCCAAAGAGTAGAATGGTAGTTTAACAGGAACAGAAATATGTATAGAACAATACTCGTACACAAAAACAAAATCAGTATTATTAAAGTAAAACAAATGGAAGTTCACAAAACTTAATTTCATAACAGATCATAACAAACCACAGCATTTCTGGAATACTGTATCCACGGAACAAAATCCTTCCTAGACCTTGTGAAAGGGAATAGTATTAATTATGCTATTTTCAGGTTTTTATGAAAAATTGTAATGATTTCCTTTGAAACATCCTCCAGATATGCCATGAAATTCATACCAGAAAGATGTTGATCTATTATAAAATGTAACAAGTTGACAAAATCAAAAATAGAAACACAACAAATACAACAGTAGCAACTTGGTGCTGTGAACAAGAAAAAACACTGGGTACACAATATCCACTCACACAACAACACAATGCTCCAAAATTATTCCGTCAACAATTTTCAGGACACACAAAAATGTCCGACAGTGATTAATGTCTAACAGTAATGAACATCTCAAGTCAAATGACAGCATAAATACTATAGTAGATAGTGAATGGAACACTTCAAGAATACCCCACCCATCTGTATTAAACAATAGAAAGTTATGACTTCAATGAAAGTCTCTGAACTTTCGACATATTTAACATGAATATAAATTACATAGTCACATCAAATTGCATTTAACCTAACATTCTGATCATTTAACTTTAAAAAAAACACACCATATATTACTCGTATAAAAATTGATTTCTTAACATTACGTTTTAAAAATAATACCACTACCTGCCAAATCAAGAAAGGTAGGGAGAAGGGGAGGTAATCAGGTTCCTGATCATATAATAGTACAATGAATTTTATTTCATCATGAACCATGATAAATGAAACTAACATTACAAAATGATTTAAAATAAATAAATTTGGATTTGGCAATAGTGATTCTTATGTTTGTTTTGAGAAAGTTTCAAATTTGTTTTCTTTTAAAGCTACATGATCTATCTTCAAGAGTTGTAATTCCAATGAACAGGAAAAACAACATTGTATATTCATGTAGAATTTCATAACTCATATAACGTGTTCGAAATAAATATAACGATATGTAAAAAAGATAGAAAATTACAAATTAAACCCATTAAAAAGACATTAACAGAACGTGAATGAAATAATCAACAAGAATAACACTAATTGTATACATAATAAAAATATCTAATCCAAAAAAAATGATGTAAACTTGTTTGAATTAAATGTGAAAGTCATCATTGGAAAGAATACAATTTCAACTTGAATTTCATTGAATTACCATTTGATTTATTTTGTTACTGTTAAAACTATTGGTAAAAAGATTACAAGCCACTAGGCAAAAAACGGAAAAACAAGGAAAACTATTGTATCATTATGTGTATTAACCAGGGTAGGCAGAAATTGTAGGACTGGAGTGCGTTATTGAACAGGGAAAATGTTGATGGATTGTATTGTAAACATCTAAATTGACATCAAATACAGTTAAACTGTACTATTGACAATAATATCAATTAACCAACCTGCAAACTCTCTTAATATTTCACTCCACTGAAAGCTGTAAACTACAAACAGCATTCTATGCACCGAGTGTGATTTTTAACTCTTTCTTTAAAAGAGGGGTGGTAGTAAAACTCATTGGTGATAGCTACCAGAAGGCCTAAATTAGCATCCCTCCTTCCAATACTATAACTGTAAGAGTTTAGAATGGTTAAAACAGCTGAATTCAGATGATGAACACTAAATACTGACTTAATTATAGACAATTGGCGATAGTAATTTTGACACACACACTTTCACACAATTCTTGAGAGGATAAAGTTGAGGTGGGAATGTCAACAAGAACAAATACAGCACCATAGTGGGTTGACAGAAAGCAAAATACGTGCCCTTCTGCCACACAAATATCCTTTAGGTAGCATCCAAGCCAATGACGGATCGGTCCATTATGCCTTATTTTATCTGACAGAACACAATAGTATAAGTTTTTTGTTTTGTTTAGATAGAATCATCTGATGGATGTCATTGACAGTTTGCTCTTTGTATCTTTTGTTGATGTGGACTGCACTTTCTTCTTCAGTTCGTCCACTTGGAAACATTTCCATAGGCGGAGTGTTTCGTCTGCTCCTGCTGACACGACCGTGGAACCATCCGGAGACATGGCCATGTGTAGAACTCGGGCTGTGTGACCTATGTAACACAATATCGATTTGTAAAATATTTATGCGTTAGTACTTGACTAAAAGTCTGACCCATGTGTAATTTCAACATCCTTTTTTAATATAAATATTTAAATAGTTGGGGAGGGAGTTTGGGAAACTGCATAAGGCCCACCAACCACAATTGCATTCTTTTGCCATTATATAAATGATAAGACTCAACTTCTCATACATCGAGAGTTGTAAACTTTTAAATTAATCTAGAATAATCTGTATGCTACCCAAATTTTTGCTTGATTTCTTTTTGACATTTCATGTTCATTTAAAACTATTTCAGGGAGTGTGAAAAAGAAATCGCGAATTTTACTTAAACCTGTGTAACAGAGTATACCAACAATAACTCAGTACCTGTTAGTTCTGCCACCTTGGACATGACAGGATACTTCCAAATGGTGAGCTGGTTGAGAGCAAATCCATGACTGGATATCAGTTCCTTATAATCTTTGGACCACTGCAGAGCACACACCTGTGTAAGGGATAAATAAGGCATTACTCATAATCCATACAAAATTACATGTTGGTTAATGCCACAGTCTGCTTATCGGTATATATCTGGATACAACACTATCTCAACTTTAATGTGAAGTATAGTTTTTGTCAATGCAACAGCACCACCAATATTGATACTGTTATGAACCGACACACTTGCTGACCATCAAAGTTACATAGTGAAACAAATTACACGACACTCTATGCATTTGCATAGCATACCATTTCAAGTTGTCTTAATTCTTTTTTTTTACCAATTTTACACTAATTCTTGGTATGTGTAATACGATACATTCATAACATTTCAAGCTGTCTTAATTCTTCTTTACCAAGTTTACACTAATTCTTGGTATGTGTAATAAAATACATTCATACCATTTCAAGTTGCCTTAATTCTTCTTTACCAAGTTTACACTAATTCTTGGTATGTGTAATACAATACATTCATAACATTTCAAGCTGTCTTAATTCTTCTTTACCCATTTTACACTAATTCTTGGTATGTGTAATAAAATACATTCATACCATTTCAAGTTGTCTTAATTCTTCTTTACCAATTTTACACTTAATCTTGGTATGTGTAATACAATACATTCATAACATTTCAAGATGTCTTAATTCTTCTTTACCAATTTTACACTAATTCTTGGTACATGTAATACAATACATTCATAACATTTCAGGAAGTGGATCATTTTCAAGAATTGTCTTAAAAACAAAGAAAACACTGTAAGGGAGTTAATAACCCAGTGTCAACATAACCTCAGTATTTACCTGATGTCATAGCGAATGCAAATTAAATTATAAACCACATATTCACCAATGTTGATCTGTCTTGTTTATATAATTTTAATGGTTTTGTAAATATAATTGCATTTTAAAGAATTATAACATGAGGTAGGGAATCCAATCTGGGGCACATAATTTCCAATTGTATAGCTTATAGACTTTTTATTCCAAGCATGTATGAATTGAGTTGATACTTTACCTGTGATTTTGTGTCTACACTTTGTAGACAAGTTCCTGTGTTACAGTTCCAGAATCTAATGTGTCGGTCAGCAGTCCCACCGCCACTGGCCAGTAGGCCAGACTGCCAAGGACACCAAGCAAGTGCCTACGATAGGAAATACCAGGTAGTTTCAAGTAACAGATAATTTCAATCAGATTATTTTTTTCTATGACAGTAAAAGCATGTTTTCAGGACTTATGGCACATATCAAGAGATCATAGATGTTACCTTTATGTCAAAATTTAAGAATTTTCGATAAGGAATGATACATTTTTTTTTATATATGTTTAACCGAAGTCAGAAATGAGATAAATGCATACATTGAACTTAACATTTCCAGTCACAATTACCAACATTTCCTTTATCAAAACACAACTCTACCAGCTGGAATAAAAGGTTTTTGATAGCATATGTACTAATAAAAGACCCAGTCAATGAAGGTATGGTATATAGAGATTTTTGAAAAAGGTTTTGGACAGGTCACACTTAATTTCTCCAACAGTATTTTTCAATTCCACCGCAAAAAGGAAATGTTGGTAATTGTGATCGGAAATGTTAAAGTTCAATGCATGCATTTATCACATTTCTGAATTCAGTTTTTTTTTTCCCCATTCCCTATCGAAAATAATTAATTTTTGACATATTATAACATCTGTGATCTCTAGAACTACCAACTTAAAAATACTGAAGGATGCGAGGAGACATCATTCACGTATTTAAGATTATTAAGAATTCGAGGTCAATTTAGATGGACACTGGAAAAATAAAGATATGAACATGTATGTTAAAATTGAATGTTAAGGAATTATATGTATGTATTGTATCATTGATATGGATATAGAGGTCGATATTTGCATGTGTCCATCTTGTTTCCTATTAAATCTTAAAACAATGGATGCCTATCTCAAGTATCTTCATGCAAAACAGATAATAATTTGAAGAGATATCGCTCTCCTAAAATTGGAGGATGACCTAGTAAAACATTACCGAGAACTCTGTTTGGGAAATCTGGTAACAGTACAGTATACTTTGATTACAAGTCTATAATAAGGACTCGGTAAATTTTGTTCAGTAGCCCCTTTAATACCTTGACCGCAGCTTGATGCTGTGAGAATGTGTAGAGGGGCTGGTTATCGGTGATAAAACCTCCTGGTTGTGCCCCCCAGATGTTTAGGAGGTTGTCGTTGCCACCACTGGCCAAAAACTTGCCATCCTGGGCCCACTTTAGACCACACACTTCCTGGTTGTGACCTTGTAATGTGCTGATGTGATGGTTTGGGACCCGCACATCGTGATGGTGTATTGCTCCACTCCTTGACCCACTGAAAGGAGTATAATTGTTGTTAAGTTAACTGATAAGATATAAATGCAATAACTTCCATCTCTTCAAGAGAACATATTGGTCTCCTGAATACTGATTCAAAACCGTTGTATTAATGACGATTTCACTGTTAATATTATACAACTTGCAACAGATTCAAACAGTTTTCCAAATCAATACTGTACATTGAAAAATTAAGTGCAAGAGCTCAAGTCTTCTGACAGAACTACTGTGGAATCATCCTTTTAATTCTAGTTGCATATGACTTTGACTGTGTTGCTTTCTAATCAGCAGATATCTAGATTTTGTTTTCTCGTTATGTCAAGCAACCTTATCATAATGAGAAACTGTTATTTGTTTTTATATATTTATAATTAGCTGATTAATAAATAATGGTGATCCAACAATCCTGCAGAAAACTGCAGTAGCATTCTTAAATTCAGTAGAGCTGCTAAATAATTTGTGTATAATCATATGTAACATAATGTATCAAACTTATATATATATTATTTTGGATAATCTGTTACAGATCTATTTTTGTGTACATGTGTGTTCCCATGTTGCTCCGTGTAACAACATTTTGTCAGTATTTACCTGCTTAGGATGTAGGAGTTCCAGGACAGTGATCCAACTCGTGCTGAATGGCCAGACATGTTTCTCAGTCTCTTTGTGGCTGTTACATCCCACAACTACAAAACATACATGTTGCCAGTGTATTTTCAGTGTACCAGTACTTACAAACATGCATCTTCTAACCATTAAAACATTTTAAAAAGTAAAAATTAAATCTTTGACGACAAAGCTAGCTTTACTAGCATGAAGGTTATAACTCTGTCAGCTTTGTCAAGGTTTAGTTTAACCCATGTAAAAATTACTTAAGTCAAACTATGATCTGGTAGAATAACAATGTTAAATTTTATGTTTTACATTGTTTTATGTAAGATTTACCTCCCCTTAATCAATATCAATTAATACATCAAAACAATTCGGCAATAGACTTTACATCAAATTACAATATAACACACAATAGTTCAAATTTAGGTGATTTTCACTGCATATAATCATTCTTCTGGAATATAATCAATATTTTTTAATTTTTAAGTAATCTTATTTTTTGTTCCATAGTTGGGGTATGTAAGTATATATTTTTAGATGGAATAGTCCTGGTACATGAAAAATTATTTAAGACCATTTGATATATAAAAGGAATTAGTATAGAAATTTAATGACTTTTGATTATAACCAATGACAGGAACCACTAGCAGCACTGGCAGATGTAATGTATCGATAAAACAATCTATTTACATATTTTACAATAAATTTGTACCTGGACTTCACCATTACTTGTTCCAACGGCCAGGTAATTTCCTTCTTTGATCCAAGCAACTGCACCTATATACTCATCTGCTGTTTCCATTTGACAGAGCTGGTTTATATCCCCTGATGCAGCATTCCACAAGTACACACTTCCACCCAGGCAAACAGCAAGCTGATTGTTGACCGACCAGTCAAGTAGGTTAAGGTCTGTAAAATACAATCAGCCGGCATGTTAGTACACTTTGATTTGACACTAAAATTTCAGAAATTCAAACATGGACATTACTCCATTGTCGTTTATCAATTTATGTATACAATTACAGAAAGTTTTCAAATGAAACTTTAAAGTGAAAATTGTGCGATCCAAAGATGACGGTTGCAGAATTTTGATAAAAAGAGTTAAAGCGACCAAAATTTTCTATCAAAGGTGATTGTGACATTCACCTTACATGAAGTATTGTAGTGTATCCAAGTTATTGACTTATTCTACAACTTGTTTTTTGTATACCAATGTGGTTCTAATAATAACCCATGCATTTATTCGAAGTTGAATACATGATAAAACGAATGTAGCGGGTTGGTGATTATTTAAAAAATAATTATCTGGCCAACTGCACAAGGAACTACAGTTTAGTTTGTGTATGGACGATGGTTGGGTCTGGTGATAGTCCAGCTCCAGTGTCAGAGTTTGGTGATCTGTACACAATTGCACCCTCTTTACCCACTAACTGTAACAATGCATTACATTTGAAGAAAACATCCATTTAGCATGTCAATGCATGTCTGACCTTATATTTGGTCTACTGTATGGGACTGTTGAAACTTTAATTAGAGACAAAAACGATTGGCTTCCGAACAGCACCATTTTTACATTTTATAGAGATATATATAAATCCATAGTATATTTCACCTTAATATGCGTACCAATCTGCAAAATGTAACAATCTGCGACGACAGTATTAAAATGGTGCTGCTAGGAAGATGTTTAAGTCCCACAAAATATATCAATCATAGAGTTAGACATGCATGGATATGATCTTTATATTTTTTTCTAAAACTACAATTTATTTTAAGTGTGAAATTACAAGTGCAATTATGTGTACAGACCTACCCAACAACCTCAGGGCCACCAATATTATTTTAATATCTAGGATTGACTGGACGTTGAGAGGTCATTTCAATATCTTTCCTTTCAAGTGTTCAGAGCTGGACTTGGTAAAAGGGAGGATCAAATGGAAATATAATCAAAGGTAAAGAGTAACATGCATTTCAAGATTATATTGAAACTATGCCTCAAGGGGGATGGGCAATTATTGGGGATATCTTAAAAATTTGAAAACAGCAGAAAATATTTTTTTAGCGTATTTGCCCCGAAATTTGTGTGTGTTGGCGCCCGGGGGGCATTTGGAGCCAATATGGTACATGGTTGATCACAATCCATTTGAAAATGAAGTAGCCAGGGTAACTCGATGTGTCGCTACCTTCCCCCAAAAATGGTGGGGGCATATAATCTCCATAAAGAATAATGTTTTCTTGCTTGTGATAAACTGCAATTTATATCAGATCGTCATCTACGTTCTCACAGTTCTTCAAATAGACACGTTGAAAGTGGAAATAGAAGAATTATTTTGTTTGTCCTAATTAGTTATAATATTTTTATATATCAATTTTAACGTCATTCATTTCAATTTTGTCAGACATGCTGTCTCAAACATGTGAAACCTGAGCCAGATCATAGAAAATATCTTAAAGGATTACAATAATCATCCAGGATATCTGGTGCATCAAGAATACGTTCAGGGACCTGAGGTATATTGCGTGTGGTTTTCTTGGCTGTGCTGGCTGGTGTTTTACTGTACACGACTCTTAGATGGTTCTGGAACCCTGCAAAGAAATCACAAGAGTACTGCATTATAACAGACATACATTGTATACATATGAAATTCCCAAAATATGATAGAAAAAAAAGTCTTGTAAAATGGAATTATTTCAATTGAAGTAATGTTTTTATGACATCTTATATTCCATTTACAAATGTTTAATTTCTAGAATGAGGAGTGTGCAATAATTTTACAAACACTGATTATAGCAATATTCTTGTCTGTAATGACATATGAAACAAACTCTGAATGCAGCTATTTTTCACAACCTACTCATTTTCACTAGCTCTTACATAAAATCTACTAGTCCTGGATGTTGAGCTAGTGGTATTGTACACCCCTACAGCTACCATGCATATATACTACACCTTTGATAGGTGTTATCCTAAATTGATCAGAATGGATTTTATTGAAAACATCTCATTTATGTACCAGCTGGTGCTGTTGGTGCCTTTGTTTGGTATGATAGCACTTTCCCTGCTCCCACATCTGTGCCATTAAGGTTTTCACTCATGACTTTCTGGAATTCTTTTTGGGAAGGACTCAGAAGTTCTGGATCCTCAGTGTTACTGTTCATGATTTTAAAATGTCCCAAGTCATATTGTGAGGAACTCCGACTTGGAATAAAACGGTCTCCACCACTAGGCGTCTTTGGGGCTTTTCCTGGTGTTTTGGTCTTGCCTGAAGTTGTACAACAAATATTTCACAATCTGCTGCTTTGATGACATATATATACACTGACCATGAAATGTAAACAATAAACAAAATATAAGGTTTGCCGCAAACTTATTTTAAATTCCTGTTTCTATTGACAGAAAAACTCAGCATGATATTGATCAATATTATCATCAGATTTAATTAACAATAATTAAAATTCTAGTGATTTCATTTCTATCTTTTTGAAAACATTTTTTTTTTTATTCAGACTCTGTGATCAAGATGATACATCAGATTTGTACATTACTAAAGTCATTTATCTCTGAATACATGCACTACTATTTCAGAGTGGTTGGATATACTGGCACAGTTGCATTGGCAGCCCACTCCCTTTCGAGCATATTAAAAATAAAGGGCCAGCCAGAATCTGATTTCCATTTCAGAGATGAAAAGGTATTGGGTCACCTGTCCAACCTCAGGTTTTCTTCGATTACTTCTGTTTCCTTCCATAACCAGACCCTTTGCACACATTTCCATCGGGGTCAGCAAGCGTCATCGTAAAATTTTATAAACATATATATATATATAATTGTTATAAAATAAATAAATAAAGTTATGGTACCATTTGTAATTTTGTACCCTTACCTCCAGACTTTGGCGTTTTCCCACCAGACCCAGCTGATGGCGTTTTAGGATTAGGATTGTTCATAGATCTGTTCAAATTTTTCATGGGTGTTTTACTAGTGGTTGTTGTAGTACTGGCATTCAGGGAGCTGTTTACAGAAATGTTCGCATTGTTACAATCTTGTTGATTGTCCATCCTCTTTTGCCATCTCATTGTCGGACCTTTTGATATTGGTGCATCCATTCTCAAAACACTGTTAAGCTCGTTTTCAAAGTTAAAATGTGACATATTCGTCAAAGTCGAGATATATATATAATTAAAAAATCGAGGCGATTCTCTATCTTTTTTTCTTTTTCACACTGGAAGGTTTTTAGTCATGTTCCATTTTCATATATGCCGATGTTTCATCTGAAAAGTGAAGTTACAGCCAAGTCATATTAGCAATCAAATGATGAAGATACAAAAATAAACATTAACATATATTGTGTATTACAAGGAACCCCTCTCCCCAAAAATTAAAACAATAAATAACAATATCATGCACAATTTCATATTCAGAACACTCCAGCCCATAGGTTGATTTTGAAATATTTTAGCAGCCCCACACCATAGCCATATAGGAGCCTGAAGTTCTGTCAATAATGAATAATAATAGTAATACAAAAAAATACCCCTAATATCACGGACTTAGGTAACTTATCTAATTCCGTGCTAATATGCTTAAAGCATATTAGGGGCATTTTTTTTGTATTACTATTATTATTCATTATTGACAGAACTTCAGGCCTCTAATCAGCCCTATGCTCACGTGTTGGAATTATTATTAGGCCTCCACTAAGTCTCCAGTACAGTAATATAAATATAAGTAAAATAACAACATAGAATACTGTACATGTGTCCAGCACCTGCAGCCCGACCTATATTCATTGTAAATATTGAAAACATAGTGGATATTGGATTTATAAGCCACCAAAATTACCTTACTTCAGTAGAATCACCAAACGTATGGGGTCCGATTGTGTACTGTCAACTATGGAAAATCATAATTTACAACATATCAGGACGTGTATTCCAATATCCTCGATTTCCCGGTATGTTAAACAGTTTAGCCATAAAGGAAAACTAAAAAAGTCACACAATTAGATCGGGGTTCCATCCATGAATGAAATCGTCATACTAGGCCTATAATTATAATATAGCGTATCCATTGTCAATATGACAGCACTGCTGACATCACGCAGACGATTTTAAGTTTTTAACAAGATCTCGATAACATAAAAACGGAGGCAAAATCCTTTCATACTTACAGTTCTTGCTTATTCACGTCTTTTAAAGTCACAACAATAGGATTAACACAGTTTAGTTAATATTGTGTTTCAGATTGCACTCAAAGTTTTCCTACAGGTCTAAGCAGGTTGTTGCTGTTTTCGTATTTGATATTGCCGCTGTGAAAATAAACCAATCATTTTCTTGATTGGATGGACAATGCGGCATTTGATTGGCTGAAATATTTGAAGTTGCTTTCTCGCTAAATCTCACCATGTGCGATAATTGACGAGATCTCAAAACAAACATGGCTTCCGTCAACAACATTAACACGTTGCAGAAAAACATGTTTAAGAAAAACACTATATCTAAGACAATTTTTCGATGGTTTGCAATGATCTGTTTAATAACAACTTTATTTAAACTCTCTGCAGCAGATGCACTCGATGAAAGTGGCAAAGTTTCTCCAGAAACACGTAAAACAGACGAGATCACAACAAATGCAGACGACAAAATATTTGAAAACGAGGAAGATGAATTACAAGTTACCTCTGGAAACAATCTTCCTGACGAGCAAACTCTAAAAACAGAAGAGGACGATTTTTATTCGTTTAATGTTACAGATATAACTGGAATTCCAGTTTCATTAGAACAATACAGAGGACAGGTAAACACCACTGATTGCTGAAATGATATCTGAAATCATTTCGGTCAAATCTTCAGTATACACAGCAGCCGTTAGCAGCCGTTAGCATTGTGTTAGATGGTATCTTATTATACGTCCACCACAGTAAACAGATTCAACGTGCTACATATGTATAATTATCGTTTAATACACTGAAGCATTTACACTAGCTGTGATCAGCCACGGCAGAGAAATAATTCCCACCCAAAAAAGGATTATCTTATAAGAAATATAACGAATTGTTTATGTTAAAAGGAAGCAAATTAAAGTAAAAATGGCTTTGAATCAGAAAGAAAAATGCAAGTAGTTTAAAAAAGTTCGATTTCAATAGTAAAAAGTAGATAGAGATTTCAGGTTAATTATCTACCTATCATCTTTTATGTAAGAAATGATGATATAGAAATAAATCAAAATTACTAAAGGCATTGACTTTGGTGATTAAAAATATCATTATAATGTAAATGAAATATTATGTTGAAATAAAGGCATTGACTTTGGTGATTAAAAATATATTTATTATGTAAATGAAATATAATGTTGAAATCGGGAAACAGTTACTGTCAAAACTACTATGATTTTAATCTCAAAATTTAGGGTGATCTCACTGATGTTCATTCTTTCAAATTAAATGTCTGCACACTTAATTCAATTTAATACATTATAGTATAGTAACTAATGAAAGTATAAGCCTACCCTCAACATTTTACTTCATCATCAATTCTTTTTACATTTTCTCCAAAACAAGACACCAAAACTTGTGTGTAGGAACCTTTATGAAAAAATGGTGCAATTGGCATGTTGGATAAAAACACTGATTTAGATCTAATACACTCACAAATCTTGGTTAGTCTCTATGAAAGCCTTAAAAACATGTACTGCTATGTCTACAATAACATTCTCCTTTGATTTTAAAGGTTTCCCTCGTTGTAAATGTGGCATCAGAGTGTGGATTCACAGATGACCATTATAAAGGCTTGGTGAAGCTGCATGAGGCTTACAGAGAAGAGGATTTCAATGTGCTGGCGTTTCCCTGCAATCAGTTTGGAGCCCAGGAACCTGCTGTAAGGATTTAATGGGATACATGATGCAATTAATTCACCTGCCTCTATGTTCATATCATATAAAATAACATTTTAATTTAAAAAATTAAAAATCGTTTAATTCAAAAAATTAAAAATCAACTCCCGTTGGTAAATTTTTAGCTAGCTAGGTGATTAAATTTCAGTTCAAGGTGTTTCCAATGATTGTCCAAACTAATTCAGAGTTTCTAATTGTTGTAGCCTGTATAACTGCCTCGGGAAGACTGTTCTAGGTATCAACAATTCTGTAGCCGAAGTGAATTGTATTGGGAAAAGTTATTTAATGCTTCTGAAGAATAAACAGTCTGATAAAAATATCCTTTAAAATCTTCTTAACAATATTCCTTAAATAATGCAATGCCAAATTAACCCTCCCATTTCTCTTGAAAATTGTGACAGGATAACAGTGTTTTATTGTGTATGTTTTCTCTCTACAGAGCAACCATGAAATAGAAAGGTTTGCTAAGACAGTATTCCAAGTTGACTTCCCGATATTTGCCAAAGTCAATGTGCTAAATGACGATGTGCCAGAAGCATGGAATTACCTCATAGGTAGGAATTGATAAAATTTATTATTAAGATATTTGTGCTTTCAAAATCAAGATTTGTTGGATTTTCATGGTTTTGTTTTGAGGAAAAAATAGTTGAAGTCAACCATCTTTTACCATTTGGGTAAAAGGAATTTCTTGTTTTTGCAACAAAGAAATGTGTAAAAAAAAAAGTAACCATGGCATCATGTTCAAACAAAAGACATTTTGATAAAATTGCATTTAAGTTTGTATATAATTGTTGAATTATTTCAAAATGCCCTGTATTATTATTTGATAAAAAGAAACACTAAATATGTGGATTACAAACTATGAGGGGAAACAAATGAAATAAAGAGAATCATAGTAAAGGGAGTTAACTGGCATATTAATAACTTGCATGACACAGATTTTCTCCTGTATTTCATGTGCAATAAATGAATTTGTGGAAGCGAGTTTATTTCAAATTATGTGTATTGTTATACTTGACTAGTAATGTGTATGAAGATTTTGGGTAAAAGGAATATATATGTTGTCTCTGAAATTGGTATCATTCAAAATTATCTTTCTTTTTGTTTGATTTTGCAATGCTAGACCGTGCAGGAGAACCACCAAACTGGAATTTCTGGAAGTACCTGGTAGATTGTGATGGACGCTTGATGAATGCCTGGGGTCCATGGGTAGCTGTTTCAGAAATTTATTACAATGTGGAACAAGCAATTCAAGATTGTCAGGAAAAGAATAAGATTGGTGCTGTGGTTACAGAATCTACGTCTACCACAGATCCTCACGGAGGAGAACTGTGAGCATTGAAATGGATTTAATATGGCTATTTTTTCAATAGGTTAGTGCTGTTGTAATACTTGTACTCGTTCATGTAGGTCTGTCTGTTTAGAAATACACTATAAATCCACCGTTTAACTCAGTACTGGCAGACCTTTGGATTTTTTGGCACTATTTTAAGATATTTATGTCTCATGATATTTTGAATCTGCTCAATTTGCTGCTGTGCTTATTATTGAATCTCAGAACTTTCACCTCAGTTCTATATATATATAACAGTTTGATATTGTTTAGCCAACATACATTTAATTTTTATTCTTTTTAACAAACAACACTGTATAGCATATCTGACAGATACTTACATGTACCAGTATTAAACTAGAATCAAAATATCAACACATTGAATAATCATTAAATAATTCATTGTTTTTATGTTTGTTTATTACTTTTGAGAATATTTTTCATTTTTGTTTAAATATTTTTTTAAACAGTACTAGAAAAAGAAGTTTTGTTATGCTTCATGCATTGAATATAGTGGATATATGCTCGGGTTATGTAGAAAAAGTGGGGTTTTTTTGTGCTATTTTTTATATAAATTCCTTTAAAATGATAATTCTTGTTGAAAGTGATCTGGAAACTTTGGTATTTGTGATATAATTACATGCACCAACATTGTACATGCTTTTATTTTTTTGGGGAAAATCCAGAAATGTTTTTGGAGGTATAATTTTGATAAGCCATTTCAAATTCATATTTAATAATTTCCAATATTAGCCAATATTGGAGATACTGATTGCCATAACTATGTGTTGAAGAAGAGTTACATAAAACATACATCAACAATGTTTATATGGGTTTATGTTTGTGCAATAAGTTTTTCAGATTGTACATTTGTTCAAAGTATTTTTTTGAGATATTGACATAGCTGCTATTAGCATAATATACATTTGTTAATATTAACAGCATCTAGAGTTTACATGAACAAAATGTATACACCGTTTGTAATTATACATCTATTATCAATGGACAAGTATTAACAATCAAAACCTGGTTTTAAATATTAACCATGTATTCAAATCAAAAGTAAGAAACCACAATATACCAATTGAAGATTGTTTTTTTAGCAATTTGTATTTCAATGTTGAAAACATAATGATAACAGTAAATCTTGTTTTGTATGGATTAATGTTTTTATAATTTTAGTGTTTGATAATACTTCCTGTATGTAACGGATCATTATCATATGTTTTTTAACCATAACCAAACATAATGTATTAGTCAGTCGAGTAGAGTTCCTTTTCATTATTTATGAAACTAATTCTAAATGTCCCAACAAAATCAAGGACATAATCAGGTTACTTATTACTAACCCTAGGTAAGATTGACATACAGTGCTGACATGTTTTTGTTGTGTGTGGGTAGTCCTGTATGAAGTACAGTCGGTTATTACTAACCCGAGGTAAGATTGACATCTAGTGCTGACATGTTTTGTTGTGTGTGGGTAGTCCTGTATGAAGTACAGTCAGTTATTACTAACCCTAGGTAAGATTGACATACAGTGCTGACATGTTTTTGTTGTGTGTGGGTAGTCCTGTATGAAGTACTGTCAGTTATTACTAACCCTAGGTAAGATTGACATACAGTACTGACATGTTTTTGTTGTGTGTGGGTAGTCCTGTATGAAGTGCAGTCAGTTATTACTAACCCTAGGTTAGATTGACATACGGTGCTGACATGTTTTGTTGTGTGTGGGTAGTCCTGTATGAAGTACAGTCAGTTATTACTAACCCTAGGTAAGATTGACATATGGTGCTGACATGTTTTTGTTGTGTGTGGGTAGTCCTGTATGAAGTACAGTCAGTTATTACTAACCCTAGGTTAGATTGACATACGGTGCTGACATGTTTTTGTTGTGTGTGGGTAGTCCTGTATGAAGTACAGTCTGTTATTACTAACCCTAGGTAAGATTGACATACGGTGCTGACATGTTTTTCAATGTTATGAATGGTTTTCTGATTTGTGCCTGCTATGCTATCGTCATTAATTTTTATTTGATTTTCTGCTGCTGTTGCATTTAAACAATCCATGTGAGTTGAACACTTCAATCAGTTATTTTGCACATTACAACATTAATATGGTGTAAACCTGCTGTTCCATAAATAGATCTGCATTTTGTTATGTATTTGTTAAAAAAATTCAAAATAGGAAATAAAAAAAGCAATTTTAGCACGTTGATTACAGTTAATAGATGTTCCTCGTTGATACAATAAACAACATGGACCGAAATCAACATACCACAATTGTACAAAGTTGAACAAATTTATTTATTTACACTCACACAGTCATTTCTAGGCTACCATATAAAGCCATGTGATGTTTTGTCTCTGGCTATTTGTTACTAGGTTTAATAAAGTATTAAATACTGACATCTCTTTTTTATATTTTGTTTACATATATAGTGGGTATAATAGCCAGCATGAATACTCTGGTAGCTTTTGAGATTGTCTGAGATTTGGACACACGGATGTGCACTGACGTCACTCTGTGTGTAGTATATATAGACAGTAGTAATTTTATATGAAAAGGATTGTAATGCGGAAATGTTTACATGACTGGACAACAGGGCAATGACCTTCTAAAATCTTGAATAACATGTAGTAACAGCACCTTGTCACAGACCTATTGTTTCATAAGTTGTGTATATCCAGACTCCAGTTCCACAGCATTAAGGAAAATTCATTGATTTATTATTCCATTTGAAAGCATATCCTTATTTAATTAAAATTTCTTTAATTTTTGATTTTTGATAACTCCAGCAATGCTTCCCAATGCAAAAACACGTAAAGGAATATGCCTTACAAATACTTATTTTATACGTTTATGAAACTGGAACCAGGTGTTGTTACTCTTTCTGTACGAAATTTATCGATGGTGTGTATATTCTAGCTTTATTTATTTGATCTTTTCATGTATTCAGACATATCTCATCAAGTTTTTCAAAAACCAAGATCCATCCCAGTATATAAAAACTCAAACTGGAACTAAAGCTGAGCTTATCAACGTGTACAACTGTATGACAGAAAATAGCAAGTGGGACGTAAACAAAATATGGGAGTATTTCAAAATCGAATTGTCTAAACTCATAAAAGAACATATCCCCCACAAGATAGTTAAGACAAAACCCAGCCTACCTTGGGTTACCCCTGACATAAAGAAACTTATCAGGAGAAGAAATAGATTGTACAAACGATCAAAAAAATCAGGAGACACTGAAATAAAAAATAAGTATAAAAACCTGAAACATAATATACAGAGAAAACTACGAACATCTTACTGGAGCCATATTGATAATATCATCACCCCAGAAAACACAACCAATGAAAACAAATTTTCCTGCAAAAAACGGTTTTGGTCATATATAAAATCCAAACGATCAGACCATAGTGGCATAGCTCCTCTGAAAAAGGACGGTAAACTTGTTTATGACCCTACCACCAAGGCCCAGGTGCTAAACGCACAATTTCAATCTGTTTTTACTTCTCCTGAAATCTTTACCGACCAGCAGTTTCGCACTAGATGCAACATGTCTACTCACGATAAATACCCTGCCATGTCTGAAATTTCTATACATGAAAAGGGCGTCTTAAAACTGCTCCAAGGCCTAAATCCATACAAGGCCTCGGGCCTTGATAACATCAAACCCAGAGTACTAAAAGAGGTTGCAACAGAAATAGCCCCGATATTAACCCTAATATTAAATCAGTCTCTGGAAACAGGTATAGTGCCTTCAGACTGGAAATCTGCAAATGTATCACCTGCTTATAAAAAGGGTCCAAAATTTCACCCAGAAAACTACAGGCCCATATCTCTGACCTGTATCTGTAGCAAAATTATGGAACACATTGTGGTCTCAACTATCATGACCCATGCCTATACCCATAACATATTGTATCCGTTCCAACATGGTTTTCGCAAATCGCGATCATGCGAAACCCAAATTCTTGAATTTGTGGATGACATCTCAAAGAATCTTGATGAGGGACGCCAAACAGCTATCCTCATAATGGACTTTGCTAAGGCTTTCGACAAGGTCAGTCATTCTTTCCTAAACCATAAACTAAAACATTATGGTATACGTGGACATGTCGCAAACTGGATCGAGAGTTTCCTGACCGGTAGAACTCAGACAGTAGTAGTTGAAGGGGAGAAGTCTGATTTTGTCGATGTCCATTCCGGGGTACCCCAGGGGTCAGCTTTGGGACCCAGTTTATTTCTTTACTTTATAAACGATATCCCTGTGGGTCTAAATGCTACAATCCGTTTATTTGCAGACGACACTATTGCATATCTAGTTATCAAGTCAAACAGTGATGCTGAAACACTTCAAAAAGGTCTTGACAAACTAGCGCTCTGGGAAAATACATGGAAAATGATCTTCCATCCAAACAAATGCAATGTGTTGTCGCGGATCGGTGACTAAAAACAAAACTCCAATAGTCCATAATTATACTTTACATGGACACATACTGGAACATCTTAGTCAGACCAAGTATCTGGGTGTAACACTATCATCTGACCTTAAATGGGATTCACATATAAATACTATCTGCCCAAAAGCAAATTCTACGCTAGGCTTTTTAAGACGAAATCTTAAAATTGGCTCAACATCAGCCAAAGTACAGGCATACAAATCATTAGTTCGACCATCACTTGAGTATGCCTGTACAGTATGGGACCCTCACACCCAAACAAATATTGACAAGTTGGAAATGGTCCAGCGAAGGGCAGCGCGCTATGTGCTCAATAAGCACAGGTACAACCATCGTACCTCCAGTGTGTCAGAAATGTTGGACCACCTAAAGCTGCGCCCTCTAGCAGATAGACGTAGAGATGCTCGTCTGACCATGCTTCATAACATTGTAAACCAGAAAGTCGCTATCGTAAAATCAGACAGATTAATCCCTACAGTTAGAAAATCCCGAACAAACCACCAGTTTTCGTATCAAATTCCCCACTCAAAAACCCAGACCAGAAAGGCATCATTCTTCCCTCGAACTATACCCGAGTGGAATAAACTCCCACTTGACATTATTTCGAGCCCCACAATGGAATTATTCAAATCAGCCCTCTACCGTCACATTTCAAACGCAAATTAGACCATCTCGTATCTTTTAAAAACAATCTCTTTCCATGTTTCACTCCTCGTCTGACATTTTATCTTCAAATTGTTGAAGTTGGTCAGTACCATTTAGAAGTAGAAGTGATACATGCAATCGACTCATCTTTTTTCACTTTTCATTAAGTCTTTACAATAATGAATTGATTTCCAATATTTATATGTTTAACAATAATTATGGGAAAAGACGTCAAATTGTTGCTTCAGATGTAGTAGTTTATAAGAGTTTGCAATTATTTTGGAGAATATCTTATTTTGATGATTCGTCTTATCCATGTTCCATTGTCTTTCTAACTTGACAGAATTCTAGACGTTGTGCAAGCTTATCAGTCTCCGATTATTGGCATCCAAAAATAGAACAAAACACATCACTGAATAATATCATGTTTATTAGTTCAAATTCATAACAGAATTATGATTATTATAATGTTATTTATTGGGAGGAAGTGTTTTACTATCCATACACTCGCTGGTCGTAATGCTACACGTATGGGGTCGACTTGAATCCCTCAGACTCCACTACTTCTATCCCTAGCTTTATAGCGGGTCGTCACATATCGACAAACACGTGTACCTTAACGACAATATCACTCACGGCAATTCTCTCCCTCTCTCTTCTTACACAGGGCATTGTGAACCAGAATATATGTATTTGTTATTTTAACCCATTTTGTCCTGATTGCACATCATTTGCACTTTATGATGCATTAGCTTACGGAGTAAAAAGCTGCGATTTTACTGCAGCTAATGCTAACAGCATATTCACCACAAGGGTTTATAACACAACTTTTCACCGTGTGCCAGAAATTCGCATCATATTGTGTAATTCATGTTTCCTTAAAACATTCTCAGCTATCATTTTATCCCAGGGTGTTAATGTGGTAAAAAAAATTGCCTCACTGGTCGTGATGTTACACGTATGGGTCGACTTTAATCCCTTTATTTTATCCTGATTACACATCATTTGCACTTTATGATGCGTTAGCTTACTGAGTAAAAAGCTGCGATTTTACTGCAGCTAATGCTAACAGCATATTCACCACAAGGGTTTATAACACAACTTTTCACCGTGTGCCAGAAATTCCCATCATATTCTGCAATTCATGTTTCCTCAAAATATTCTCAGCTATCATTTAATCCCAGGGTGTTAATGTGGTTAAGAAACCCCTTGCCTCGACCAAATGTTTTTTTCTTTACGATTTCTAACTCGAAACTGGACCCCACCACAAGAACAAAAATGTTCATTTAGGTAGTTCTTAAATGTTTATCATGTTCAGCTGTATACATAGAATGGGGTATGGACGGATCAGTCAAACAAATACAGATTTCTTGTTCACAAATGCCCTTTACTGTCTCACAGTGAACACAGGGGCTTGATGAGGGCTAGTCACAAACAAAATATATGCAAAATAGCAAAAGTCGTGATTTTCACATCTCTCTAATCTCTGTTATTATTAGTATTTCATTTGGAAAAAAAAACAATTTCGGAGGTGGGATCCTCACATGGCGAAAACACATCACTTCAAAATATCCCCGCCAACTCATATATGATCTTGCATTGCCGACAGTTGTTAAAATATAAATGTAAAATATTCTTTCTCTCAAATGTGTTTTGCATATACGTTCTTTGTTGCCAACCTATAACAGTTAATTAACATTGTTTTCAGTAATATAACCTTGTGACTCCAGAGGTTTGAATCTCTTTATATCACCAGGTTATGGGTAAGTAGCCACTACTTACGTTTCTAAGGTAATGGGTTCAGCTTGTCAGAAACGGGATAACTGTATATATATAAAGCGATCCAAACCCCTGTTTAATTAATTCTTAATGCATATCATCTTCTGTTTGTTTTTCAAACATATTTCTGTTAGTTAACAGACATCGTCGGATACCCACTGCTGATTTCGCTTCGGGATTATATCATCGCCAAAGCAAAATCAGCAGTGACTATCCGACGATAGTAAATAAAATACAAATATCAATATACCTCTCTCTTAGAAACAAACATTCGACACTTCCTCCCCGTTCTCAAATCGCCATCTAAACTAAATAAGTTGGCCACTACTACTAGTGGTTAGTCTGATTGTATTTGTCACAAGATGGTTCTTTGGTCAAGTAATATCAATAGTGTCACATCAGAGCATTGGTCAGCTGGTCAGCCGGATTATCTGAACATTGGATACCTTTTGGGTTTTGTCCAAATGTCGTCATATAGGCTGTCCACTATCTGACCATCTCGTCCTTGAGACCATTGATACGTGTATATTAAGGTAATGTTCCGGTCAGTTGCTTGAGGGTTGCATTTTGTAAACTTTTTGAATTTTCTTCCCAGTAAATCTTTTTTAGTAGAATTTCTATGTGTTAGCATGCAAAATGGTTTGAATATCTCCTCTTCCATGATTTCATTAAGAGTTAAAAATAAGTTCTTATGCTGTAATTTTCTTAGATATAGATAATGCTAGTTCACTTATCATTGTTCAAGGGAAAAGGTGTTTGTATGTTATTCAAATATCCTGTTTACGTTAAATGCGACCCCGAACACTGTCAATTGCGTCCAGCCGACTGTCACAGTCAGAGTGATCTCCCGTTTCGGCTGCTACGGCATTGTCACGCGGCGACGGGTCATTGTCATTGTTGTTGTCAAGGTCAGACGGGTGCGCCAACTACCCCAGTCTCCTGTCAGATGCTTCCGTCTGTGGTCAGACCCTGTCACTGTCAGTCCGTGCTGACGGAGTGACACTGTCAGGTGCCGTCCGGATGACCGAACAGACTCTGTCACGTTCACATTTCTGACGCGTCTTCCTGGCCGTCGCACTGTCAAATTACGTCTGATGTTATGTCAGAAGTTAATGACTGTCATCTGCAAGTCTGATGGTCTGTTCCTCACGAGCAAGGACGTTGAACGCCGTTACCACGTGACCTGCAATCTCAAGTTTTACCAGTCGTGACGGTTGTTGGTCAATGTCACCTACTTCCTGTGTCACTTCCGGTTCGTCAGTGGACAACGGCGGTTGGAGTTGGGCCTATTGGTCATTGACACTGGAGGTTTCCATCTCTGGAAACCTCACAGTCTCAGTGGCAGTTCCCAGTCGTGTGCTGTCATTCTCAGACAACACTGTCACTACTCTGACCGCTCTGTTGTCCATGTCACTGTCAGGTGTTCTCACTGACGCCTGTCGACGTCGTTTGACAGTGTCACATGTCACCATGCGACGCGTCGCTAGGTCAAAAACAAGACGTCGCGTCGATTTGTCATTGTCATGATGTTCCAGCATCGGTCGACCGTCACATACAAGAGTCGCTAGTTCCTTGTCATACACAGGCACCATCGTCACAAGATCAGGAAATCGACGTCGCCACGGCGACGGCAGACGACTGAGTTGTCGGTCACTGACATGTCGCCGACTGAAGGTTATTGTCACTGTTACAGTGTCAGCTGGTCAATAGTCGTCAAGACGGTCGGACAACGGGGATCTCTACGTCATGTCCGTTTCTAAACTGGTTACAGTCATATCAAAGACAACGTACGCTAATTGAAGGCGTGATTTCTGAGCATGCACAGAAACGCATTCTTCCTGTCTGGCGATAACGTGTGCACGTACATACGTCCTGATAGTTGCGCGGACACAATCAAGATTGTGTGGATTCTCCCAGAAGACCTCGTCTCTGCAAATGCTGTCATAACCGATGGACCATTCTGTGTCTATTATGTGGTCCGTTACGTCCTCGGCAATTCTGCTCCATACACGTAGGCGTCCTGTTATCATCGGAACTGGAACTTCTTTGACGCGACATAGAAATAACATCCGGTTGCTGTCCCTGCATCCGGTCCATATCTACCGTCGACATCAGGCGCCGTCTGTACCTCCGACACTGCCGGGCGCACCGATCGCGCCTTGTTACTTGGCGTATGCGGCGCTTGATAAGACGAATGTTTATGGCATTAGCGTCGCGGATTATGATGTCATCAGATGTCAGCAGGTATCGCAGCATTCCACATCTACAACAAAACGAAAGAAAAGACCTACCCATTAGTAAGTCTAGTACAAAAGCTTCATTTCAGATTCTTTAATTATGTGAACTGTTTTGTTTTTAAACATTATTTTTCAATATCAATATACTACGTTCGCAGAGCAGTATTTTCTTTGTTCGTGTGGAACGATGACTCCACACGTTAGGATCGAGACAACATGGATGGAGTATACGCCAGCTTTATTTTCTAACCATTGACATTTCTTACCCGTCATACATGTAGATGTAGTCTTTATCTCCGCCAAGTGTCGTCCATATTTCTAGATCATCGCTGTCCTGATAAATGGGCATTTCTGCTGTGTTTACGACGTTTATCAGATTCTGAACATGCTCTCGAGCGTCATCGAGATTCATGTTGACAATCATGAATTCTACGCCAGTTATGCCACGACGTTCGAAGCTAGATCGGATTTGTTCGAGTCTAAAACAGAAAGAAAACACATATGCTACAAAATCTTTCATAAGATTATCACTTGATTAAAAGATTAAAAAAATATAGGAGATTGGTTCAAAACGTTCTCACTGATATTCTAAGGTGGCTAAACGATATAATAACGATATAATGCAGAGACAATCTCATTGACTTGTGAATCTTATTAGATTTTTTTTTATGACATTTTAGGAGTACGAGAGTCAGGTGATTCTTCTACATGGGAGAGACCGAACAGTACTTACGTCGTGGCGACTCTCACACAAAAACCTCAGCTGGCCTTCAGCAGCGCCACCACTCGTACGTTGCCTTCCGATTCCTGCATGGGACTTGTGCCGTTCACCGTCCTCCATATTGGAGGACGGGTACAGCGTTGTCCGCATGCGGTGGCAACGAGAATGGCGGCAAGCCACACGACCAGCAAAGGGCCGGGGCCCCGCATTTTGGTGTTCAGACCTGGAACAAAATAAACAAATACAAATACTCATTAACCGAAAATATATAAACGAATCATTCCGCCACAGACTGCCCACTGCCCACTCAGAAATCCGAATCCTGAAAACACTATTCGTTTGTGAACGATCGATTCTTCAAAGATAGATTGTTTGTGCTTTTCAGTATTTATTGCAAACCTTTCGCTTTTTACATTCTTTCTCATTCTTTTTTTGAGAGACGATTTTGACGATTGCATGTATTTCAAACAGCTAATTTGTCTTGATTTGAATGCACAAAATCAACATTTTAGGAGATAGACAATCGAAGCTTCTCTTTTCACGAATTGCTAACGGGAAATATAAGTACCACGAAACTTTCGTGATTTACGTTATGATGTACTGTAGTTGTGTAAAATACAAGTTACTGTATCTGTAAAATGCAAGTTATTGTATCAACCAGAAGTGATGTACTGTAGGTTTGTAAAATACAAGTTACTGTATCAACCAGAAGGGATGTCCTGTAGTTGTGTAAAATACAAGTTACTGCACCTGTAAAATACAAGTTAATGTATCAACCGGAAGGGAGGTACTGGAGTTGTGTAAAATACAAGTTACTGTATCAACAAGAAGTGATGTACTGTAGTTGTGTAAAATACCAGTTACTGTATCTGTACAATGCAAGTTACTGTATCAACCAGAAGAGATGTACTGTAGTTGTGTAAAATACAAGTTACTGAATCAACCAGAAGTGATGTCCTGTAGTTGTGTAAAATGCAAGTTACTGTATCTGTAAAATACAAGTTACTGTATCAACCCGAAGTGATGTACTGTAGTTGTGTAAAATGCCAGTTACTGTATCTGTAAAATGCAAGTTACTGTATCAGCCAGAAGTGATGTACTGTAGTTGTGTAAAATAAAAGTTACTGTATCAACCAGAAGTGATGTCCTTTAGTTGTGTAAAATACAAGTTACTGTATCTGTAAAATGCAAGTTATTGTATCAACCAGAAATGATGTACTGTAGTTGTGTAAAATACCAGTTACTGTATCTGTAAAATGCAAGTTACTGTATCAGCCAGAAGTGATGTCTTGTAGTTGTGTAAAATACACGTTACTGTATCAACCAGAAGTGATGTACTTTAGTTGTGTAAAATACAAGTTACTGTATCTGTAAAATGCAAGTTATTGTATCAACCAGAAGTGATGTACTGTAGGTTTGTAAAATACAAGTTACTGTATCAACCAGAAATGATGTACTGTAGTTGTGTAAAATGCAAGTTACTTTGAATGCACAAAATCAACATTTTAGGAGATAGACAATCGAAGCTTCTCTTTTCACGAATTGCTAACGGGAAATATGAGTACCACGAAACTTTCGTGATTTACGTTATGATGTACTCTAGTTGTGTAAAATACAAGTTACTGTATCTGTAAAATGCAAGTTATTGTATCAACCAGAAATGATGTACTGTAGTTGTGTAAAATACCAGTTACTGTATCTGTAAAATACAAGTTACTGTATCAACCAGAAATGATGTACTGTAGTTGTGTAAAATACCAGTTACTGTAACTGTAAAATGCAAGTTCATGTATCAACCAGAAGTGATGTACTGTAGTTGTGCAAAATACAAGTTACTGTATCAACCAGAAGTAATGTCCTGTAGTTGTGTAAAATACAAGTTACAGTATCAACCAGAAGTGATGTCCTGTAGTTGTGTAAAATACAAGTTACAGTATCAACCAGAAGTGATGTCCTGTAGTTGTGTAGAATACAAGTTACTGTACCTGTAAAATACAAGTTAATGTATCAGCCGGAAGGGATGTACTGTAGTTGTGTAAAATACAAGGTACTGTATCAACCAGAAGTGATGTCCTGTAGGTGTGTAAAATACAAGTTACTGTATCAACCAGAAATGATGTACTGTAGTTGTGTAAAATACAAGCTACTGTATCAACCAGAAGTGATGTACTGTATTTGTGTAAAATACAAGTTACTGTATCAACAAGAAGTGATGTACTGTAGTTGTGTAAAATAAAAGTTACTGTATCAACCAGAAGTGATGTCCTTTAGTTGTGTAAAATACAAGTTACTGTATCTGTAAAATGCAAGTTACTGTATCAAGCAGAAGTGATGTACTGTAGTTGTGCAAAATACAAGTTACTGTATCAACCAGAAGTGATGCACTGTAGTTGTGTAAAATACAAGTTACTGAATCAACCAGAAGTGATGTCCTGTAGTTGTGTAAAATGCAAGTTACTGTATCAACTAGAAGTGATGTACTGTAGTTGTGTAAAATGCAAGTTACTGTATCAACCAGAAGTGATGTCCTGTAGGTGTGTAAAATACAAGTTACTGTATCAACCAGAAATGATGTACTGTAGTTGTGTAAAATACCAGTTACTGTATCTGTAAAATGCAAGTTACTGTATCAACCAGAAGTCATGTACTGTAGTTGTGTAAAATACAAGTTGCTGTATCTGTAAAATGCAAGTTACTGTATCAGCCAGAAGTGATGTCTTGTAGTTGTGTAAAATACAAGTTACTGTATTAACCAGAAGTGATGTACTGTAGTTGTGTAAAATAAAAGTTACTGTATCAACCAGAAGTGATGTCCTGTAGTTGTGTAAAATACAAGTTACTGTACCTGTAAAATACAAGTTAATGTATCAACCGGAAGGGATGTACTGTAGTTGTGTAAAATACAAGTTACTGTATCTGTAAAATGCAAGTTACTGTATCAGCCAGAAGTGATGTCTTGTAGTTGTGTAAAATACAAGTTACTGTATCAACCAGAAGTGATGTACTTAAAGAATCTCAAAACCGGTCCGAATTTATGACGGTCGCTTCGTAGAAACCAAATGGAATGGAAATTCGTTTGAGATAGAATGTTTCCGGAACGTTATAGAGATGCTACTCCCCGTGGCATTATATACTGTCCCTGGATAGATGTATGCGTGTTCTTTGTTTGGGAGATGATGTAGTGGCATTAAGTAAACGTTACCCTAGTTAGTATATATACGTGTGTACGAATACGTTTTGTATAACCGCCGAGTCATCATAAAACCAGTTTAGCCAGCCTTTCGTGGTATGAGGTATACCAGTGCTAGTCACCATCGGCTCCGGTGACTTACAACCTTCATAACTCTGTAGAACGCTTTCTTCGGGTAATACGTTATCGTGTCCATGTATAGCACTTTAATTATAAATAATTTGGTATAGGAAGTTTGCCATGCACCAGCGACATTGCATGATGATGTAAAACACCTGTTTGTAACAATTTAAAGTGGATACAGTAATCTTACCACGTATATATTGTTAAAGTTTAAATAACGTTACAGTGTACTGATCACGTGAACATATTGATTACTGAGTGTACTGTAACTTCGGAGCAAATTCCATAGTGTGTTATACCTTGTTGTTTACGTCACTTATCTAAGTCACTGACCCCATTCACGTACACACATTGTACTTTGTGTAGCAGTTATGTACGTTCGTTTTAAATACCAAACGTGGACAGGATTTTACTCGGGATAGGACTGTTAAAGTTTGTGTGTTTAAGAATTTAATACAATATCTGTATGCAACTTTCACCTGTACATGAAACTTTGTCCTTTACCTAAATCTTACCTTATCTGACAGGTATTCGTCCTTCGTCCGCACCCAAACTTTAACCTTAACCTATAGCTTACCCGACCCCGACAGGTTTGGGATTGAGAAAAGAATATACATGATGTTTTCATGTGCAACCTCCCGCATAATTGTGACATCAACATGGGGACACAAAACGGCCAAAATAAATCTGCTGCACCCATTGCAACAATTGGGATAGTTAGTTTTTCTCTATTCATCCTAATAATCATTTGTCTCTTAGCGCATTGCTTGACAACACCTAACTTTGAACTTGGTGTTGAACATTCACCCAAAAGGAGAAGACAACGGGTTCTGTTCTCAGGCTGGGACATACCAACGTTCTTATAAATGGTAGTTGTTATTTCCTGCTTTAGGGTAATAGCAACATCTACACATTTAGTTAGTCCGTTGTCAGTATAATGTGACCGAGAGGAATGCTGTACCGGGTGCCTTCGGCATGGTTGTTTAGTGAGGTAGCACTCTAAAGTCAACATTAGATCTATGCTATGGTAAGGAGACACATATTATACACATACATGCATACATTAGACACACGGAGACACGCACTTAAATGACCTTAGCTGGACGCTAATACCAAACACACCTGTATGCATTTATGTATGACTTTTACACATCTTTCAGCGGTATTTGTCTCTCACACTTAGACGTCTTTCACCTGTGTTAAATTCAAAAATTCATCCGATTCTCACATGTGTCCGTCTCTCATGTGTACCCTTTCTCACATGTTTCATCCTGTATGTAGCCAATATGTCACCTACACAAATGTATCGCATGTGTCCCTCTTACGCTTTTATCAACCAGTCACCTGTGTGTGTACCTGTATCCATTTACCACACAAATCCGTCTCGCATACACACCACATGGACCTGAGAATGTGTTACAGCTATTTTTGGACCTTAACTAAGGTGTTCAGAGTATCTGTTCTCGTTTTAGGGGTTTAGATCAATTTTCGGTAACACTGCCACCCCAATGATGATAAATAACGTGTACAATTACTCTGAACACCTTAGTTTGGGTCCAGATATAGCTGTAACAAATGATCAGGTCTCTGTGATGTACACATCGTATCTAACCTATGTCTATGTCTTAGCTGTAACTATGTCTCGCCTGTATCATGTCTTACCTGTATCTATGTCTTACCTGTAACAATGTCTCGTCTGTATCATGTCTTACCTGTATCTATGTCTTACCTGTAACAATGTCTCGCCTGTATCATGTCTTACCT